TGTGTTCTTTCATCTCAGATTACTGAATCTCCATTTCTGGTTTCACTGCTCATGTTCACTTATTCTGTGGTTCAAAGGTAAAAGAACAGAGATATAAGCCTTCCCCCCCCTAGAGAACAGGCTGTAATATCCTCATGGACAGAGAATTTGTCTCGTGCATTTACATCCACCCAATACCATGTCTTCTTTACACCAGCCATTAAATACATATTGTGCCTACACTAACTCATGCCTCTTTTATGACATTGAACAAGTCTTTCTGTTTCCTTACCTGTTGCATTCTTTCTTCAAGCAGGCTTTCACACTATCCTCCTGAACCCGCTCTTGCTAAAGTCACCAAGGAACTCCTAACTGCCACATCAGTGGATGCATAGGCTCTGTGGTGCTATATGCTGCCCTCCTTGAATTTTCCCTTGACTTCTGGGCTTCCCTGCTCTCCTGGCCTTTCTGTCCCTCCAGTGGCTCTTTTCTTAGTCTCCTGATTATTCCTTCTTCCACTGTCTTCCCAAAGCTGGTGGTCCCCAGAATTCTGATTTACCACCCACTCCCAACTCACTTTTGTGCTTTTTAGTTCATCCTTACCTAAGGCCTTAACTAACTGGTAACTCCCAAGCTACATTTCCAGCTCTCTCTTCTCTCCTGAATCCTGATTCTGTATCTCCAACAGCCCTACTTGACAGCAGCACTTAACATATGCACTTAACACACTTAATACCACCCTCTTAATACATGAGCCTAATAATGCCTGATTTCTTCTTGGCCCTCCCAACCTGTCTTTCTCCTGGATTCTCTGTCTTAGTTCATGACATCACCATTCACCTAGTCATCCAAATTAAGATACTTTGGTTCATTTATAATCCACGGTGTCGTAAGAATTTATCATCTAAAAACATAAAAATGAGCACATCATACACTCTCAGATAGATTTCCTTTGCCTAACTATTGTCAGTTAGCAAGAGACACCCTGTTTTCTCTTCAGCATGAGGTACTACACCCAATGAAAGTCCAACCCACTTCTAGTGTATCATCTCCTCCTACATCCCTGGACTCCCTGTGCTTGACTCACACTGAACTATTTACGGTGTGACCCTTTCATGCCTCTAGCCTTGTAAGTGCAGCTGCTTCTGCTTAGAGCGATGATTCTCAACAGAGGTCAGTTTTGCCCCTAGTGGACACTTGGCAATATCCGGAGACATTTTTTGATTACTACAACTAGAGGAGAGGGGTGCTACTCGCATCTAGTGGGTGGAGGCCAGAGATGCTGCTGAACACCTAAGGCACAAGGCAGTGCCCCCACAACAAAAAGTATACAGCCCAAAATGTCAACAGGGCTGAGACTGGTGATCCTTGCTCTAGAATATCCTTGCTTTCTCTGCCTGGTGAACTCCAACTCACCTACCAAGACTCAGCTCAAATGTCACCACCTCTGTGAAGCCTTCTCTACCAACCAGGTCATCTCCTCCAGACAAGAATTCTTGCACCTTTTTTACTTTCTCATACACACCTCTATTTTAGCACATCACATATTAGACTGAATTTCTGCTTGTTTGTTTGTTTACCAGTGTGTCTCTATTACTAGCATGGGAGTTCCCTCAAGTCGAGACTATATTTTATTATCTTTTATTCCCAGGGCTTGGGTGAGTGCCTGGCAAAGAGTAGGCACTCAGCTGTGTGCTAGATGAATGGATTAAAGAAATCATATCTATGGAGAAGTAGAAAGTGTTTCAGAAGCAAACAATTCAGCTCCCTAAACAACTCTGAAGTTAACATCACAGTTTCTCAGTTCTAAGAGCTATACATTCACAAGCATACATTTCTTACCAAATTTCTAAGACTGGTCACTCAAAATGTTGCATCATGGCTTTAGAGTCAATGTTTATAAACAATATTGGATTTTATAGGAAAGTTTCAGTGTTGTTCAAAATAAATTTAACCAAATGTTTCTAAATATTCTGCTGGAGTTAATAAGGGCAGAGAAAAAAATGGAACTCTAAAACAAATATATATTTAAAACACTTATTTTAGTAAGAACAAGTAAATAAATTGTTGAAATGTCTAATCTTGAGATTAGTGTTAAACGCTTTTGAAATAATTAAGACATAGTTTTTTAAAGTTCTATTACACTAGGCTTGAACAATTTACCTCCCTGGGATGAAGCAACAGAAAATGAAGAAAAAATTTTATAACAAAGAGAATAAAACATAAAGCCAAAGTATGGGATAAAAAACATGCATGTATGTGAAGAATGAGGACATGTACAAACTTGGGCAAAATGCTAAGGTATTTTAAATAATAGGGTAACAAAATCTCTGAGCATCCTTACAACATAACATGGGAGATTTAGAAAACAATAGGTAGGAAAAAATAAAATAATAATGAGTAAACCATTATATAGAGCTTAGAAATATGAAGAGTAATTTTGGTAACTAGATAAAAACTACTTCTTGACTGAGCTGACAAAATATTACACACCATGTGAAAATATCAAATATCTACTTTCAGATCAAAAGTCATTATTTCAGAAAGTATATATAATAAACACATGCTGGTTATTGTTATGTTCTTTGATAGCAAATGAATAAAATAAACATTATCATACAGACTACAAAGTCCCATTTTCATTCTATTGTAAACACAGAACAGAGCCCTGTTGCAGATACAGGAAAAAGTTCTCAGTAGATTTTAAAAATTAGCCATTAATGAGCTGTTATTGTAGAGAACTAGAAACTGGATACTATGCTGCTAGAGACTAGTAGCTAAACACATAAGAAAAGAATCCGTAGACTGTCAGTGCTTTAGAAACCAGGGTCCCTGACCAAAGCAGTGATTTAATTTCATGGCTGCTCAGTACAGATAGCTGACATTACTAAATGCTACTCTAATATCAACTTGTTAAATGTGAATCCAGACTCAGCATATCAGAATACTAACCCAGACTAACTGGAGTCATGGGAAATATTTTGGGAGCTGTTTATTTATAAATGAGTTACAATATACCACTATAATTAGATTAATATATAATTATTGATAAACACAGGATTATTTCTAAAACCCATTATTGTTGCCACTGCTAAATTTAGAAAAAACAACACTAGCATTTTCCTCGTAAAACAACCCTTACCAATCAATTAGATCAATTTAGATCTAGTATATGTTGAATTTAATGGTCACTAGGTTGCTTACCAATACTTTTATAAAGAGTTGTTTCATAAATATTAAATGGAGGGACACTTTAAAGCTCTCCACCAAACTGCACACTTACGAACTATTTATAATCCAATAATCCCAACAAAAAATAGAATCTGCACAAAGCTAGACATTTGGCTGTCACAAAAAAAATATTTAAGTTAGCTTACCTAAATTAAATAAAACTAATAGAAGTGTATATTTTTAGCTATGCAAAAGGCAGTTAGTCACACTTTATTAAAAAACATTAAAAATACCTCTTTTTCAAAAGCATCATTAATAACAAACTATAACATTACCGCAAAAATAAACTATTTTAAGGCTATTTCTATAAATATATTTATTCACAAATATTTTGAGGTTAATTATTCCTTTCAGATTAATTATTTCATTAAATGTATAATAAGTTTACAAGGTACAATTCAATTAGCAAGTTATTAATATGTTTCTTTATAGTGTCACTTCATTGCTTTCTTTTGAGGGCAAAACAGTTTGATGGATTATAATCTAAAAGTTGTTTTTTTTAAAGTTCCATAAATGAAATAATCCTAAAACATAGGTCAGAACTGGAAATCTAATCTTTATTCATCTTCAATAAAGTAGTTGTTTATATTAACCTCTGGGCATTTTATTTATGAGATTTCAAAAGAGAGAAAACTATCAACTACTTGATATTTTATTTACCTAAACCTCTTTGTCCAGATGTTTAAAAATTTTTTTTAATGTAGATATTGAGTGTTATATAAACACAGATAAACAGATAAGGGTTTTCCCCCCCTAAACTATTATGTAGTGTCATCTAGAATTGGTTTAGCCAGAAAAAAATTTTAATTTCCTGGAATCTGGCAAGACTTTACAAATACAGAAAATTTTAAAAATCTACTTAAGTTCAAATACTTTGGAAAATCTATTTAAGTTCAAATACTTTGGAAAGACTCAATTATACAAAGAACTGTTTTGGTTAAGATTCATTAGAGTTAAATTGCTAATATAATAAACAAAATTATCAAAATAACAAATTAATAAAGTAACTAGAAAAGTATGGGAAATGCCTAGCAATTGAAACCAAATTCAAAAAATATAAAATTTAAAATTGAATATTGTTGAAAGACTGAGTTAAATTTTAGAAGGCAGTCTTAACTGGTAGCTAAAGGAAAATCCGGGTGGAAACAAAATTCCTGTGGTTAAGGCTATATACAAATGCAAATGCCATTTATCTTTCCTCTGCTTTAAACGTGCAGCATAAGAGTTTTTATCAATGTTCTAATAAATACATATATTTTAGAGAAACATTTTCTCTGTGTTCATTTGCAACAATATTTTCACATTTTTACGTAGGCTTTTTATTGTTTAATATTTTAAATAAGCATTCTATATTTTACTTAGTTTCACAATGATTAAGGAGGGAAGAATACTAAATGAACATTTTTGAAAGTGGGAATAAAATATGGAATTAGATATTAAAATGCCATGTTACTGGAGGAAAAAAAAACACCAAGGTAAAAATGTTAACAAAATAAATTATTATTTAAAGCTTGTTTTTATGCAACAGAAATGTGTCATGGCCTAAATCACTTTGGAAAGTTTTTTTTTTTTTTAATGCACGTTTTCAACACTGGTAAAATAACAAATAGAGCTATAAACTATTGGGGGTTCTTCAGATTTACAAATACAAAGATTAGGACTGTAAAACACTTGCTAGCTAAGGACCAGGGAAGTACATAAAACTGCTAAGTTATAATAAATTTTAACCAAATAGTCCATAAAGCTTTTCCAGAATAAATTAACATTTACCAAGACCAAAGGAAACTTACCTTACAAGAATGCTTTAAAGAATTAGATAGTTTATTTGTGAAATCTCTGTTACTGTCTCTTGATAAATTATCAACTTTATCTTCATTTCCAGATGCAAACTTTATGAGTAATTGCGATGGTCCCCCCGTAGAACAATTGTGCTTAAGGCTGGATAAACAGGAAACATTTGGATAAGTTCCTCCCAATGAAATACTTCTTTGTAAAACAGCATGATTTTTGTTGATCTGTAAATTTGGTCTTTCCAACTGTCCATTGATATTTATTTGGTAATCTACATTTTGGGAGGATGGTAAACGTGCAGATGTCCTATGCATAAGCTTACTGCACTCTGAATCAGAATTAAGCTTAATTTCTGACATCTCTGGTTTACAATCACCATTTGCTGTTTCACAATCTAACGTAGGTGCTTTTTGTTGGGTGAAATGCACTGAAACACAAGAATATCCTTCAGATGACTTTTCACAGATAGTCTGATTCGGACTGTTATTTGCAATAACAATTTTCTTTTGTAATGAGCCCTTCCTGTGAAGTGGTCGTATGTCTCTTACTTCTCCGGCAGTACAGATTGTTTTAGATAACCGAAGTCCATTGACAGCTGTTGAAAGAAATCCCTTAGCACCAGGACCATCTTCACTGTGGGCAAATTCACTAGGAGAAATTATAAACTGGTGTGAGGTTTGATAGGATCCTTTGCTTGGAAGAATATCTGTACTTGTTGGAGAAGTTGGTGGGGTATTTGAAGGACTCCTAGGAAAAATGACTAAGGATGAACAACGTTTTAGTGGAGTTTTCGAGTTCCTGCTCACTGGCAATTTCATAATTTCTAGTCCGTGCTCCAAGTCATCCTGGACAAAGGGAACGGTACTTGGACTTCTTGAAAAAATTTCACAGGGAGTAGTATTCCTGTATGGCACACTTCTGTTGGAGGTGCTGTCGGAAGATAAATTTCCACCAAGAAAAGTATCATCAGTTGGTGGAAAAGTATAACCACTGCTGTCACTGATGATACTGTTTGTGTAGGAACCACCACTTGTGATACTTGTGCATGATCCATAATCACTACCATTGCTGCTGTAAGACCCATTCTCGCTGGTGGAACAGTTACTAAGGCTACTGCTGCGAAGGGCAGAACTGCCTACATGGTTACCATCATTCACAGCATTCAGTTCATTATCAGCCACAGCATTGTTGTAAATACCGTCCTTCAAGACACACATAAATGAAGCATCATCACCATCAGCTAAGACATTGCTAGACTGAAGACATCCACTGTACCTTGTTGGCTGTAGTGAAATCTGCAGACAGCTGCTCTTTTTATTAACGTTTTCAGGTGAAGGAACAGATGATCTTTCCTGAGACTTAACGTTTTCCTGTATTAACGGAGCTAGTGCAGTCTGTCTAGGAGTCAGCTTCATTTGAACAACGTTAGACGTTGAAATCCGTGTTGGTCTTTTGAAGCACATGTGAACATTGTTATCCAGATCATCTCCGGAGGTCTCTGACAAAGGATAAGTATTGCTTCTTCTGGCTGCAAAGTGCAATCGTAAGCTTTGTGCCATTTGTTCTCATTTCCAAACATGTTAAGGGCTGAAAGTCATAACAAAGATCTCTGTCGGGAGACAGGCTAGAAGCAGCTGCACTGCATCGAAGGAAAAAATCATTTGTGGTGCCTAAAAGAGCTCTTAAGTAGTAGTCTTTATCCTAAGTAAAACCTTAGATACCAGATATCATAGAAAGAAAAAGACGACCCATTCCTGAGACTGACGTTTCCAAATATTTTTGAATCGCGTGTAGTCAAAATGCCTTCACTTACAAAGCACTTGATTTCCAGCGACCTTTAAGCTGAGCTCAGCTGCAGCACACTGCCTCAAACACTGCCAACCTTGTTTCAATTATACCTTCTCCAATTTGCATGAATGAGTAACACAAGAACAACAATCTTCTAGCGTTTCAAGTTGAAACAGTATTTTTTCACTCCAGCTCTACTAAATGAACATTTAACTATGTGAATCACAGTGCCTATACTTTCTCCAGCAGAGTTTGACCACTAATATTTTTACCCATAAGGATAGAATTACAGGAAGTTGGTAGGAATGAAACCCCATGTAATTGAGTATCAAATCAAGGATTGAATTTCCAAATAGTAGCCAGAGTAGAGAATCTCATCAAGTCAGTTGATGTAGAAAGGCATATATTCTGTTAGTTTTTTTAATGAGTAAATTCAAACAGTTGTATAAATTTGGAAATACTAAAACTTTGGGGTTCTGAATTAAAACTCTAGCATTAAATCAAATAGATAAGTATTTTAGCTTCCAAAACCCTACTTATAAAAAGTGAAAGCTTAAGGAGAGCAATACAAAATTAGCTTAGTAATACTATTGAAAAATTGAGCATAGGTCTGAGAAAGAAAGGTTTAAGAGAAGCTGTCACCAAGCATTTTCTCCTGTAATTTTAAGGCCTTTTCCAGCCAAGTAGTACAGTCTTTAAATGATGCCATTTATATTTTGACTATTACAACTCTGCCAAGAAATAGCCTAAGCAAACATTCCATTAAAAATATATGCAGATTAGACAGAAAAACTATACCCCAATATAGTTTGAGCACACAAGATATTTTATTCCACTGTCTCTGCAATTCATTCACTTAAGAGAGTGTTGTGGTAAGTAAAGAAGTCTAAAAAGGATTTAACACATCAAATAAACATATCTCAATGCCAATTCTGTTCTGAAAACTCTAAGAGCTCTTTGCTGGCCTCTACTGGTGTGTTGAAACAATCCATGTAGCTGTTTGATATCTAGAGAGAAATACAAACCAAGCTGCATATTTCTTTGTATAAACAAAGTCCATACTTGTTTACATTTTTGAGTACTAGCATTGCCCTCGAGGTGGAATTAGTTACTACTGCTGATAGAGCTCCCACAGTACAGAACAGTAGACTGTTTGTTCTCCAAGAGCTTGTGATTTTGTATATATATTTTTTCTGCTTTGTATTTATTTAACCTTTACTTTATTTTCAGTTTACTAGGTAATAAAAGTTTAATATTTTAATTTCTCCCCCAAATGTCATAGACCAAGTTTGGTATTCTATTTGAAAGAAACAAAGTTATTTTTAAATAATACTCTAGGGTATATTTAAACCCCTTACCTGAATTTTATAGCTGGAACTCCAGTAATAAATATATACTGACTCATTCATAGGAGAGTGAAAAGTAAAATAGTTCAGTTGTTTACACCACATGGTACTACACCCAAGTTGTATTTTTCTAAGTAAGATTTTTTCCTAAGTAAAAGCAAATATGTAAAACATATACTTGCACTTTGTTTAAAAAAGAAAATGCCTTAAGATAGATCTGTTCTCAATCACAGTCTTCTAAACAGTATTTTTAATCAATTAAGATATGATAAAATAGAAATACGGAATTTGTGAAATTATATTTCTGACTAGAATGATACAGCACTATGCTTTGGAATGTGTACAATAATCGCAAACTTAGCAATACAATTATTATATTATTTTGGTTTTATATAATCTACCTCCTTTACGATTTTACAGACTTCAGGAAATATTCCCTATAATCCTCTTTCCTTATAGAAGGAACAGTCCTAATCTTTTCACTTTGCCTTCAAATGACTTCAGCTTTTCTTCTTGAATTAAGTTAGGGGTCTCATAGCTTAAAGAACAAACACTTCTAATAGGCTAATTAATAGGATCTAACTGCTCATACCTGTGGCCTAAAGCTTCTAGTTAAACTCCTCCGGTTGTTGATATAAAATAATGAACCTCAGGTATTTGGCTAGATAAATGTTTTCTCTTTGGTAAGCTTCTCCAGAAGCATCAGTTTCATGTCCCCTAACTAGGTATCAAGCTTCCAGACCATGAGGACCGTAGCCACACATTTCTTGGGACATTTCTGGGCTCATGTTCAACGCCAAGAAAACACTAAGTAACACCAGGGAGGAGATTAAATGGATGGATGGTCACACTTACTCTGAGTGCCTAATGCTTTCTTTCAGGAATTTTTTTTTAAAGTTGATCCAGGGGTGTCTGGATGCCTCAGTCGGTTAAGCGTCCGATTTTTGATTTAGGCTCAGGTCACGATCTCACTGTCGTGAGTTCTAACCCTGCAACAGGCTCTGCGCTCACAGTGCGGAGCCTGCTTTGGATCCTCTGTCTCCTTCTCTCTGCCCCTCCCTCCCCACTCCCTCAAAAATAAGTATACGTTAAAAAATAAATAAAAGTTGATTCAGCTATTACTGGAAATACTGAATATTGAAGAAAATTAAATTGAATATTAAAGAAATATTGAAAAGCACCACAGCTGGATCGGAAGGAATGATGATTGAAAATTTTCAAAGAGGGGGCTTAAGACAAGGAAAAGTAAGGCAAGAGAATGATATGCACTTTCCAGCCTGCCAGTCTGAGTTTAAACTGCAGACAGGCTAAAGAATTTGTATTGCTGGTTCTGGGCTGGGATTGCACAGGATCTGTACCACCATTACAGCAGTTCAGTGGAGAGCCTGGGGTAGAATGTAGCCCCTTAGCCAAACAGATTCCAAAAGAGGAGCATCAATTCCAAAAGAAGAGGTGGAGAGCGGTCACACCCTCATCGGGGAGGAACCTATGCAAGTCCTGTAGAATTTCATACTCTGGAATGAAATGCATAATATCTGAGGATTAGATTGAAGCTCAGGACCCCACATTCTGAGATGTTTGGTTATTGATTATCTACACAGAAAATAATGTGATTAAATGTCAGGGATAGACGCTGGATGACACTAATCATTGATTAGAAATTTGAAAGCCAGAGTCCACTGTGATGAACAATTGTATGTGTCAATGTGGCTGGGCTCTTTTGCCCAACTGTTTGGTCAAACAGTAGGCTAGATGTTGCTATGAAGATATGTTTCAGATGTGATTAACATTTATTCATGGGGTGGCTCAGTCAGTTAGGCAACCAGCAATGGTCCGCCATCTTGCAGGTTGTGAGTTGGGCCAACTTCAAACTCTGTGCTGACACTGCGGGCCAGTCTGCTTCAGGTTCTACTTTCCTCTTTTGCCTCTCCCCTGCTTGCACTCTCTCTCTGTCTCTGTCTCTCTCAAAATAAATGAATGTTAAAAAATTTAAAAAAAAAACACTTAATTCAGTAAATTTTGACTAAAGCAGATTACCTTCCATAATGTATTAGACTCATGCCTCAGTTCTTGACCCAAAAGCAAAACCGGGGCACCTGGGTGAATTTAGTTAAGTGTCTGGAGCTTGACAGATTGCTTGAGTCTCGTGAGTTAGAGGCCGCATCGGTCTGTGTTGACAACTAGAGGCCTGGGCCTGCTTCAGATTCAATGCCTTCCTCTCTCTGACCCTCCCCCCATTCATAACGATATACTGTCTCAAAAATAAATAAACACTGAAAAGCTGGTCTTTTTTTAAAAAAAAAAAAAAAAGCAAAGCCAGGTTTCCTGAAGAAGCAATTGGACTTCAAGATTACAACATAGACACTCTGCCTAAGTTTCCAGCTTGCTTGCCTGCCCTACAGGTTTCAGAATCAAGACTGTGACATCAACTCTTACCTGAATATTCAACCTGTTAGCCCTGTCCTAGAGATTCCAGACTTGCCAGAATCCACATGACCCAATCACAACCACATGACCCAATTCCTAAAATCAAATCTGAAGCAGGTTCCAGACTCCAAGCTGTCAGCACAGAGCCTGACACAAGGCTCAATCAAACTCACAAGCCATGAGATCGTGACCTGAGCCAAAGTCAGACACTCAACTGACTGAGCCACCTAGGCACCCAAGAGTACTCTTTTTCAAAACAAATGTCACTTATATGACAAACATTTTCCACAGGACTAGAAATTATCTGCCTAAGATTTTATCCGTTGCTCTTTGTTGTACATTTCCAGAGAGTATTTGTTAGGAAAAGGATATGTTCTTAATTTTGTTGTGAATGCTATACAAGAATAAACACAAATGACACTTACAGAGGCACAGGACATTTACTGCCATACAATCAACCCTCTTACTCTACCAATGGCTATAGTTTCTATGACATCTCAGGTAATAGGTAATACTTCAATTACCTGCTAGGACTAACAACAAATCAGAGGCTTAGAATGACACAAACCACCCTGTTCTAATGATTTCTTGCTCCCTTTTCCTAGTAAAGCAAGCTTCTTGAGAAAAGCTGTATTTCTAATTGAGAGCAGAGTATCCAACAGAATTGATACCCTAAATGGCATACCTTAGTTAACATACCACAGAGGGATGTATTCACAGTGATACTATTTTAATAAATTCAAAAATATGCAAAAAAAAACTATACTCGGGGTACATATGTATAGGATGAACAATTTTTGAAGGCAAAGAAATGATAAGCACAATATTCAGGACAGTGTCTACTATGTGCGAGGGAAGAAAAGGAGATGTGATTGGGGAGGGGAAGTGAGGGTTGTAGAGTTTGGTAATGTTCTAGTTCTTAAGTTGAGTTGTAAGTGCATAGGTATTCGTCATATTATTTTAAAAAAAGATTTATATTACATAACTTTTCTATATGT